TCTCTCTCTCTCTCGCAACCTGCGCATTTACCGCACGTAGGACACGCACACGCCGAGTAGAACAGCTCGTGCGGCTCCTAGAGAGGTTGCACGCATCAAAACTGTCGCTCTGTGTCATCCGTCATGTACGACGAACGGGCGGACGTGCTCTACGGTGGCTGGCAGCCATAAGCCATACGGCTCTCATCGTGGTCGTCCTCGTTGTTCTCCATTCCCCTGGCCTTTCCCTCCATTTCACTCCATCTAACTCGCATTGTCTCGCTCACTCGCGACAAATGTGTCTCATTCCTCTCCTCCCTGCCCTGCCTCTTACTCTCACTCTCTGTCTCTCTCTCCCTCTCCCTTTCTCTCTCCCTCTCGTTCTATCTTCAACGGTGTGCATTTCACATGGCACTCTGCTGGCTTCTGCCCTTCTCCAGGCTTCTCTCCGTCGCTCTCCGTCTCTCTCTCTATCTCTCCATTGTTCATAATTATACAATACGGCTATTAAACAGACTGATGCGACCGCCACTTCCGGCCGTGGCTGCGCCATTTACGGAAACCACGGGACGAGCACGAGCCTCCCTCCTCTCTTTGCCCCCGTCGTTCCGTCTCGCTCGCATTCTCGAAATCCTGACCGTCACCTACCCGCGGCCCGTTCCTCGCTCGTGTGCCCTCTTGCGTGCCCTGATTTTTCGACGAGCGCGCGCTTCCCGTCTTTCCACTCGTGCGTTGTTCCGACTTCAATTGTAACGAAAATGCAATGATATACGATAACGTAACGACAACGTCTCACTCGAACTTTTCCATTATCGCGAATAAATATGGCAATTACATATGTCGTCTATGCGGCACTGAAACTTGAGTGTCTAATCTAATTTGCAGTCGCGCCCCTGGTATTTTACATCACGGTGCTCGCCACGTTCCCGGCTCATTTGGTCCGTCGCGCTTTCCTTTATCACGGCCGCAAACGAGCCAAGGTCTAACTACGAGCACGTCGCTGTACTTCGTAATTTCTATCTACGCCAACGTGGAACGTTCCCTTCTGCTTCATGTATCACGTCGCCTGCATCACACACGCGGCCACCCTCCGGCCTTTTTACCGGGAGCTTTATAATTCCTATGTTCCCCGGCGATCATTTGCCTGCGCTCTGCCGCGGTGCTCACGCGTTCCCCCCTATCCCTCTCTCGCGACCACCGCCGTCTCCTCTATCTCCTCTTTCTTTTTTTTTTTTCGCGTTACGCGCGGTGAATCTTTTTCCCCGGGACCGGCATTACGCATTAACGTGTTTAATGCGATTTGAATGGGCGTGCTTTGGATGAACACGACGAGCAACCGACTGGTGCCCTCCACCCGGGGAGAGAACGAGTCAGTTTTAATGGGTGAAAGGCGGGCACTGAGCTGACGGTCCAATGGATCGAGAGACGACCACGGTGTACGCCTCTGTGGGTGCGATTACCTATGCGGCTGTGTGCGTGTCTTAGCCCATGTGTGCTTGTAAAGATGTGTGGCGTGTATGTGCATGCATGCCTGCCGCGGGTTCGCACCATCCTCCTTGCAGCCGATTGCTGCGAAACATCACATTCGACCAAGTTTTATATAGCTATCAATTCGTACATATTTTGCAATTGCAATAACCAGTGTCATCCTGTAGCTTGAAGCTGCAATAGCGACTATTCTATGTTCGTGAATTTCTTTTTTAGCTTTTTTTTTATTTTTAAGTCTTGCAAATTATCGTGATTGTCTTTCAAATTTATTTGACTGAAATTGCTGTAACAATCAACTGGTTGATTGGTTTTTCTAATTAAAATTTTTATTTTTTATGATAGTGACACGGTGTGAACCTTGGGCGATATTTTTCAAATCTTTTCTTACGCGCGTTTACAAATTTCTTCCTGGCTGAAAGAAATATTATGTCGAGAACGCCGGCGCAGGATTAATAATAAAACGTGTGTACGCGAACCGCCGGTTAAACGAAAAGTACTATAGACCGTAAAGGAAGATAATGCGTACTTCGTGCGTGACGCGGGGCTGTGGACAAAAAGCGCAGCAGCGAACATGAAATTCGGTACGGCAGTTGCTGGAAGCCCACCTTCGTCCATCCACGGGGTGTATCCTCGATATTAATGCGCGCGCGTGTTGCCTTTTCTTTTTTCTCGCAATTTCCGATTATCGCGGTCTGTCCTCACCACATGTCGTTTACGTCGAATTACCGAAAATTGCGGGTTAGTCCTAATGCGAGAATTAAAGCGCGTGCCGGGTGTTTCCAGATTCGACCGGGTATCGCAAAAGGAGCCAAAGAGTCAAGATGAGGGGCAAAGAAGGGGATTACTGAAAAGGGTCAGGATGCTCAATACCTCTGAGTACGACAGTGGCCTCGAACCCCTGAAGAAGCCAAAGAAGTAATTCGGAACTGATCGGCTCGACACATTGTAAACAGAGTGCGAGTCACAGCTGTGTTTCACACCTTGTAAATACGCACTGTTTTATCCTTTATCGACACTTGAAATATTTTGTTACATCCCAATCTCTGATCATGTTTATAATTTATACATCTAAATACCTGTACTAATTTTGCTACTTGAATAATTTTTCAAGTAGATAAATACATTTTACCGCCCAATATTTTTATATCTATTTTATATTCTTCCTAAGAATCCTATATTTAAAGTTTATTTTAATATTCTGAATATTCTGACAATTTTGTATTTGAGGAATGTTTAGCTTTAGAACTGAGAACCTTCACGCAAGATTTCCTGCTCACATTAACTGTGATTTGCATTTCAGTATGTATTTGCAGTCGCGAGATCGTTTAACATCATTTCCATAATGATCTCCAGTTTCCCCGTGATTGTTGCTAATCAGCGATAAATACGTTGCGGCAAAATGCGGCACGACGAAAAACGCCGGGTTCGGGGAAATTAAGTGTAACGATATCGCGTTAATCGCACACCGAGCTTCGCCAGAGCGCGCTTTCGCGGTCACGAGATTGCTCAGCGTTTAAACTCCCTTTTCGCTGCCCCGGTTCCGCTTATCTCGTTCTCCTCACGATAATTAGCAATCGCCTTCTGATAGTACGTACTTACAAAACCGCCACTTCGCCGGCGTCATAACGATATCACGCTAATTGCGCTTTCGTTTCCACTCGAGCACACCTACTACCACGCGGTCACGAAATTGCAGCTCGCTCGATCGTTAGAGTCGTACGGCCACCGGTCGTTACGTACGCGTACGTACGTACGTACGTACGTTCGTTTAAAATACGTAATTAAACTTTATTACTTTTCATCTCCTCGCAATTTGACATGCGTTTCATCGGTTGCTCCTGCAATCTAAATATGCACCAACGCGAAACAGCGTCGGCAGTTGTAACGACGAAGGGAGGAGCGTGTTACAGTGGAATTAGGAATTCCGTCGCCCAGGCTAATTTGCCAAAGGGTGTTAAAGAGCTGGCAGTGCTTCTTTCCCGGCTTCCTCGGACTCGATTTCAGGGCACCGCGAGGGCTCCCTGAGAAAGAGAGAGACACGCCACAAAGAACCTCGCGCACGTGATTGCACAGCTATGTGCCGGCAACGAACGGGAACGCATTTTTGCGGACAAGGGCGGCGGGACGGCAACAACGTGTCGGACACGCGGGGCGCGTCGACGAAGGGCCCTCGTCGGCAGGGGACCCCTCGCGGAGGAAGCGCGGCGAACAGACGTCACGAAGGCGATGGAAGGAGGACGTGGCGGGCACGCGGGGAGGTATGATTAATACACGAGCATTATTTTCGGATTTTTTGCCGCGCGATCCGCGCGCGCAAATTGCTTGCAAATAAAGGCGGCGTCGGGCGACTATCGCCGCCGGTAGGGCGACTGACACGACGGCTACGGCGGCGGTGGCGGCGGCGGCGGCGGCGGCGGCGGCGGCGGCGGCGGCGGCGGCGGGAACGACGGAAAGGAAGTCACGGAAGGAGGCCGAGAGGAGAGCTCGTCCCGAGCTTAATTTAATTTAATTATGCCCTCTTTCTTCGCTACCAGCGCACCCGAAGATAGATGGCGGCCACGGAATCTCGCACGTCTCGCCTCGGCTCGTCGCGCCGCCCCGTGCGAGCGTAACCGCGATTTCCGCGAAGGTAATTCGATTTCCATCCAAATTACGCGAGCCTCAAATTAACAACGAAGTCCTCGAATTCTTTTCTTGCTCCTGTGTAAATTGCATTGTGTTCCGCGATCGACCGAGAATTGTGCTAATTTCTTTTTTTCTCAGGCATGTTTGCCCTGCGACATAGAAATATATTTATCTAGTAATGAAAGTTATGATTGATTCTAATTGCTTGCAACTGATCACAGATATGTCACACTTGTCGCGCGGTTTCTTTGAATTGGTGTTTTCTTTTTCACCAGAGGAGAGGCATCTATTCTGTACATTTTCCTCGCTAAGCGAGAAAGGCAGTGGTCATTCGTGCAACTCGGATTGCTAAAGAACGACGCTCGATACACCCGAACGCATAATCCGGTCGCGCTTTGGCGCGGCCGGTCTGCCATTTAATTAAATTGCTCGAGTTTCCGCCTCGATAGATAGATTTTCGAGCGCCTAGAGCGTATTGTTACCCGGCGCTAAACTCCGCGGGAATTAAGGGCGGGCGCGTTGATTGATCGCGCGATGATAAATCGATCGTCTTGGGCAACATCACGGGCCGTAACATATGTTTATCGCGCGATCTGATGAAAAGCCGCGCTCGCAATTTAATTTAATCGCGCGCGCGTTATTTCGTGTCGGCCGCGTGTGCGCACATTTTCGAAACCCACCCAAGTGGCCATCTGCGAGCGGCCGCATTAGACGCGCGAGCGGAGCAAAGAGTGCGATATTTATTCGTAATGCGCATCGCAATTCGTCGTGCCGCGGCATCAGTCATAGTCATCGCGAGCGAGCGTGCGCGCGCTCATAATGAACCGTACGATTAGGATATCCCGTTCGTTCGTATGTACGTACGTGCATTCGTTCGTTCGTTCGGTGAATGCGTCCCAAGGGAGTGAGCGAGGCGACCGAATAAAAAGATATTTCACGGAAACAGGTGCGGATTTATGTGGGAACTGATTCTCAGGTTGAACTCTTTGACCGTGCACCGCCGAGAGAAATTGCCGTACGATTTCCATATTCCTCAATTCCTTAAAACTCCAAGAGATCGGAATAAAGAGTACTGTTGATTTCACGTTCATATAACAATCCTCTCAAGATTGCCCACTTTCTAAACTATTTCGAAAGCGGGTGTAAGCAAACGCAAACGCGTGGTGGCGATAGAATTTTTAATTGCGACAGAACATATACAAGCGAACTGACTCGAGACGATAAAGCGAATACCGAAACGAGACTGATATTCCCAGGTCCTTTCTTGCGTGTAGAGGCTTCAAAAATGATCATCTTCGGACACCGAGCAGTCATTATCCGCCCCTGTACGGATAATCCTCATTACCGCGAGATATGCGCAGCTTGAGTCCGATTAACGCGACGAGGAAAGGAGGGGAGGGACCCGGGCAAGAAAGGGCCCGCTGCGGGGACCGACTACAACCGCCCTACGCCCGCGTCATCAACCGCTTCTTACGCGTGAAACACCCGCGGGGTGCGCGCGTGCATGTGTGTTGCGTGCGCCTGTGTGCGCGCCTCTTTCTAATACGCGGCACAAAAACGTAAGCACTTATAAGAGGCGTCGATTATTCCACGTGATTACCGATTTCCGACCAGTTAACGACTTTTTCGAGTCGCTTACACCGCCGCGCTCTGACGCTTATTACGAGTCATTACGAGAGCGCGGTATCTCGGCTTGTTGCCTTTGAATTTCACGCCTCGAATCGGCATCGATCCTTCGGGCCGCGTACTCGCTCGAAATCGAGGTCGAGACGCGCCGGCCTGTAACGAATCCCGACGCGTCCGGGCGAAATCCTTAGCTCCACATCGTCGCATAATCGTTTCGCAACGTTTTATTAACCGGCCTACGTGTAATCGCTCCGTAATTCCTCGCTTCCGCCTCCGTGTTTCTCGGGTTCGTTAACCGCCGCTTAGCGCGATGAAAAATATTAGCCGATTAGAAAGGCGTGATCTAGCGGTCAATTTTTTATCTTGTAATTTACTCGACGTCAGGTCACTGGCTTGTCCTGCATCGTTTTTTTTTTTTCTACTCTGTTGTCGACGATTATTTCGAGATGAACGATCGTCGTAATAAATCATGATATTAACATATTTATATCTCGTAGAAACCAAAAAAAAGCATCCGCGTTATAATATCTTTATAATTATTTCGGAAATTTTTCAGTGGGGAGATTCAGAGCGATCTGTTTGTTGCGCGATGTATTACTAGTTGCCCGAGAAAAAAAATGAATGTTGCGGACGTTAAAATAATATACAAGCTTGCGTGACCGCGTTGCTTCTTAGGCATTCAAGGTGTAAAGTCTTCATCCTTTTCCGATTTCACGGTCGGAATTAACGGCAATTTATCGCGAAAATTGCCTGGCGCGTTTGACGAGTCTCCCTCGAGTTTTTCCCGGATGAAAGCAATCTTTCGGTGCGCGTAACTCCTCGCAACCGCTGAAAAATCGATTTAATCACCAGAATCTCCAGGATCAACGCGACGATAACTGCGCAACGAAACGTCGTTTTGCCACATTTCATCGATTCAGTCGCCAATTGCATCGGCATCAATGCAAGACTCGACGCCGCGAGCGATTCACCGTTGTGTTTTACGACGGTCGTTGAATATTTCACGTTGAGAACGGTGCGATTAAGTTTCTCTAATACTGCCGCATCGCAATATCCGTCTGTTCTACATTCTCGCAATCGACATAATTAGGGGTAGAGATAGACAGGAACTCTCCTGTCGTGGAGGAGACGGCAGGAAGACGGAGCAACCGTTTCCGCGAGGCGGCCGAGCGAAATCCGTTCGAAGACGCGTCAGAATCGGCGCGATTAGCATTTTACGGGCGGTGCATATCCCGTGGAAACGTTTTATTGGCGTGTCGTGCGAAGGAGCCATAGCGGCATCGCGCCGCCGGCAGTAGCAACGGTTGCCTGCAACCTGCACTCTTCCCTCGTTATTTTCTCATGTATACAGCCTGCATACGGCGATTTCGCGCTCTCGGTACCGTGCCGCGCCGCGCCAGTTAAGCTTATCCGCCGTTTGGCAGTTGTTGCCTCACGTTCCCTCGCGTACTTGGCGTCATCGACGTGTTAATCCGGTGGGACCGTATATATCGCACCACGGCGGATTAAAGTTTGGTCCTCCATAATTAGCGACACGTGCCACGAATTAGTTGGGTCGAATTCGCGCGCTGACCAAGTATCTCTTACACGTTGGTCAAGTACCTCTTTTTCGCTTCGCTCTTTACACGTCGGAATTTATTTCGCGAATCAGCGCACAGTCGGTTGCGTTCGGTAAGTGTGCGAGGCGAGCCATGTCGCGTTTTTTCTTTCGCTAACTTAAGAAATCATACACATCCGACAAAATTGTGTCGTACGCTGCTCTTAACGGGCGCGCTTTCTGCGCGTTGAGCAAGAAACAACGTCGACCTAATGAACCAACTAGGGGGACGAGAAAAACGCCGCGCAAACGCTACATTGCATCGCCGCGGATATCATTATGCACAATAC